ATTTCAAGTGCTGAGAGCCACAGTGGCTCCCAAACTGGGCAGTGCAGACTCCATCCTAGCTGTGCCATTTGCCAGCTCTGATGTGTTGGACCAGTTACTTAAACGTTCTGAACCTCAGTTTCCCTCCTCTCATGTATAGTATGGAGATCATAATCTCTCATAGTATAGAGAGGAGGTCACATGTGTAAAGCAACTAGTGTGGTTCATGGTATATAGTAAATGCTCAGTTAATGTGTGGTTCTTTCCTCAAACTGATTTCCATGGCAACTAAACTGTAAGCTCCTTGTGGGAGATGGACTCTATCTAGAAATAAACCAGTGCTAACCCTCTCTCTCCCTGTTCCTTCTACTGAAATCCCCGCCTCTCCCTCTCCCCACCCTCCTACCCCCGCAGGCATTTGCACCACTTGCCTTCACTTCCTTTAGGTCTCTGCTGAAAAACCACTTAATCTGAGAAGCTTTTCCTGAACACCTTGTGTGTAAAGTGGCACCCTCACTCTCAGTCCCCTCTTACCTGCTTTGATTCTTTGATCTTCTTTGGAGCACTTCTCACCATCATAGATACAGTTACTTCTCATTTGTTTATTTCTCCCAACCCAATAGAAAATAAACTCCCAGCGGGCCCAGGTTGCTCTGTTTACTATATAATGTCCAGCTAAATATGTTAATGGATGAATGAATAAATTTATTGGACATCCCCAATGCTTTGTCCTTAGCATGTAGCACTGAATTGAAATATACAAGTCTTGCTTGATGAGAGAGGGAAAGAGAAATATGGGTGATCAAATGCCTCAGGGGCCCTTATTCTCACTAAAACCTCTGCTACCCTGTGTCCTACCCTCTCCTACTCCTAGACTTGTTTTATGCCACTTGCCCCGCTGGAATTTCCTTCACTTCATCTCTGCTTAACAAAACCTCACCTGCTATTTAAGGCCCTGCTCGAATAACACCTCTTCTATAGGATCCTTTTCAGATCTCCTGGTTGAAAACATTATCTCTGGCCTCTCTTCCTCCACTGGATTTTTCCCTTTTGCTCTAGTATTTATGACAGCATGTTTCATATTCCAATTTCTCATGGATGAGTGTGACTCCTCACAATATATTGAACCTGTGGAGGGAAGATCCTGACCTCAGCTGGGGCGGGATGAGGGTGGGGATGTAGTTGAAATTGTACAGTCTTTGTGATGAGAAACCCAGGGGTTAGAATCTTCAATCTAATACTTCAGAGTTGTGGGCTTGGGAAAGTTACTCAATGTCTTTACATCCCAAGGTGCTCATCTGTGCAGTGGGATAGCTGTGGCCACCTCGTGGAGTAAACCTTTGTTAAGATCTACTCTGTACTGAGGGCTTTAATTACTACCAAGAGGGCAGACACAGATCTAAGCACACAGTAGATGCCCAATAAATAGTCACGTGACCTTTACATGATCTCAAATCTCTAGTTCAGTGGGTGCTAATAGGGGCTTGTTTGCAGAATGGGAGTCACAGTGTCTATGGCAGGGGTCCTCAAACTTTTTAAACAGGGGGCCAGTTCACTGTCCCTCAGACCGTTGGAGGGCCGGGCTATAGTTTAAAAAAAAAAACTATGAACAAATTCCTATGCACACTGCACATATCTTATTTGAAGTAAAAAAACAAAACGGGAACAAATACAATATTTGTATTTGCATGTGGCCCGCGGGCCGTAGTTTGAGGACCCCTGGTCTATGGTAATACTAGTATGACAACATGTAGGTAACACATCTATTGGCACCCACTAGAATGAATGGCTCTTGTTCTTGCCCACTAAAATATCTGCATCTAATGAAATTCACTGTATAGAAACTTTTGTTTTCACTTTTGGTGTTCTAGGGATTATTGTGATTTTTCTAAGTCACTAGAGATATATATTCTGACTCCTTCCACAAAGCACTCATCTCTACTTGCCCCAGTGTAGATTTTATCATAGGCCGCACAAAGGTTCACACACAGCCATACACACCCACTGCATTGTCGAGGCAACGTGCCAAAAGGAAAACCAGGAGCTAAAAGGTAGACGTCTAGTACAATTGGCCTCTGAGGTCATGATCTGTAAAAATTAAAATGCTGGATTAGAGCAGGGTTTTACCTTTTGCACCATTGCCATTCGAGCCCAGTATTTTTTGTTGTGGGGAGCTGTGCATTTGTAGGATGTTTAGCAGCATCCCCTAGCCTCTACCCACTCGATGTGAGTAGCAACGCTCAGTCATGACAATCCAAGCTGTCCCTTGGGAGACAAAATGGCCACCACTTGGGAAGCGCTGGGTTAGATCTTCCCAATTGCAGCTAATTCTAGGACTGCGGGCTGAGGGCTCACTCGCTGCTGTTCCATGCATAGCTTCCTTCCACGTTGGAAAGCTGCAGTGTTCCGAATCGTGTTTCCTTACAAACAGTGTAACAGCCAAGCATTCCCTCACAGGCTCCCACCCACACCCACTTACAACAGAAGCCATGTGGAAGGTTTGTATGGGTGACACGCTGCGATTTCAGTGTGTCGTAGCTCCCCACCGAGATCTCTGAGCAGTCGCCTCCACCCCCTGCTTGCCACTCAGGTGGGCCTGGCAGACAGTTTTGGCAGCTGCAGCTGTTCCAGTTCTGCACTCAACACGCATGGCTTTGTTTGAGGCTCTAAACAAAACTTCAGGCCACAGCTCCTGACAGCCACTCCTCTGCTCAAGTGCCTCTCTCCTGGCCGCTGACAGCTGGGGCTCGCGGGGCCAAGCAGATTTCTGTGGCTCCTCATAATGCAATTGGGCAATGGAGGGAAACATCTAATTGAGTAGGAAATTCCTATCTCCTTTTTATTTTCTTTTAAAAAATATTTTTATTGATTTCAGAGAGGAAGGGAGAGGGGAAGAGAGAAACATCAATAATGAGAGAGAATCATTGATCGGCTGCCTCCTGTACGCCCCACACTGGGGATTGAGTCTGCAACCCGGGTATGTGCCCTGAATGGGAATTGTACCATGACCTCCTGGTTCATAGGTCGATGCTCAACCACTGAGCCACACTGGCCCAGCTCCATCTTTTTTTTTTTCTAGCTTGGATTTTCTTCCCATTTCAGTTGGAAGCGTAGACAAATAAGATATATCTATTCGTGTTTATACATCATTTTACACTTGGCAAGATGTTTGTGCCCTTGCCACATTTTAAAATAAAAATCTAAGATCTAGAGAGAGGAAATAATTGTCCAAAGTCACACCATTAGCCTTGAGTAGAAACAGTCTTTTAAAGGTTCTTGCCAGATACAGGTTTACAGCCCAGTGAGCAAGGCAGACACAAACAATTAAGTATAATGAAAGATAATAAGCACTAACATACAGTTATATAAAGTGAGCAACTAGAGTGGGGAGAAAGGATCAACTAACACTTCTGGAGATGAATAGAAAAAGGAAGTGACGTTTGAGGACCTGACTCAGCTGGCTACTACAGGATGAACAGGACTTGGCTGGGCAGGGGGACACTATGAGCAAAGACACTCCCAGCAGGAAATGAGTGGACACCATCAGCACCAACATTCATCATTATCATTATCCTCACCATCACGGAGCACTTGCTACATGCCAGCCACTGGGTAGAACACTTCACATAAATTGTGTCATTGCATTTAACATTAGGTGCTATTGTTTTGTTTTTTTTATATGTATTTTTTATTGATTTCAGAGAGGAAGGGAGAGGGAGAGATAGAAACATCAGTGATGAGAGAGAATCATTGATCAGCTGCCTCTTGCACACCCCACATTGGGGGTCAAGTCTGCAACTCGGGCATGTGCCCTGATTGGGAATTGAACCCTGACCTCCTGGTTCAGAGGTCCACGCTCACCTGCTGAGCCACACCCTCAACCGCTGAGCCGAGCCAGCCTGGCATTAGGTGCTGTTGTTAATCACATTTTACAGACAGGGAAACAGACTCAGAGAGGTTAAATGACCTGCCTGAAGTCATACTTTTTATAACTGACGAGACCTGGATTCAAAGCTACCTTTCAGTATGGACTAAAATGAGCTCTTCTAGAATAAGTGGGGTGGGGGACATAGACAGCACAATTATAGGCTAGCAAGTAGAATTTTGACGAAATGATAAAAACAAAATTTATGAATTTTCAAAAGGCAAGGTGTGGCCATGAAGTCTCTTTTCTCTTCTCCCCTCCCTCACAAGGAGCCTCTTCTAAGCTCCCCTTTCATAAGCATTTCTCCAACATGGCGCCGCGGTGCTACTCTACCATCCCCCCAAAAAGAGGTGGCTAAGGCCCTACCTAGTTTCTGAGCATCTGGGAACCTTGAGGCTCAGAATCACCAGCAGGTGAATCTCAGTCACGATTCCTTTGGGGTGAGGGAGTCCCCTTACTGAGCCCTGTAGAAGTGACTCTAAAGAGCTCCACAGACGCTTCCCCTGTAGGCATCCCACCCTGAAAGCCATGCTCATAATCCGTCCGAGATGGTGTGCATTCATGTAGTCGTGCAAAGTGCACATTCAGTAGCTACGCGTCTGTGTGAGAGGAGGCGAGAAAGGAATTCTCATTTACCGAGTCCCTGTCCTGAGAGGCGGGTTGTTTGTGAAGATAGTAGGTGGGCCAGAGACTTGAGTTCTGTCTCCACATCCCTGAGACTCGGTCTCTGCATTCGCTCATTTCATACATTCTTTCAACACGTAAGCCTTGAAGGTTTTCCATGTACCCAGTGCCGAGATATAGCACTTAAGCTCATCCTATGTTCTGCAGGTGAGGAAACTGCGTTCCTAAGAAGTTAAGCATTTACATGTTCATACAGCATGTGAACAGCAAAGCAGGAACGTGATGCTGTGCTCTTAACCAGACACTGTACTGAATTTTGTAAACCTTAAAGCACTGTACTGATGCAAGATAGTATTAAGAAAATGTGTTAATACCATTTTCTCCTTTGTCTTTCTTCTCTCTCTCCCTCCCCCCCTCTCCCTGTCTCTCTCTCCCACCCTTCCTCCCTCCCTCTCTCCTCCTTTTTCCACAGGACTCCACAGAATGGAGCAAGAATGAGAGGAAAAAGGCCGGCAGAAAAGCATGAACTGGAGGTTTGTTGAGCTCCTCTACTTCCTGTTTATATGGGGCCGTATCTCAGTGCAGCCCTCCCACCAGGAACCAGCTGGGACAGACCAACATGTCTCCAAGGAATTTGATTGGCTCATTTCAGACAGGGGGCCTTTCCACCACTCCAGGAGCTACCTATCCTTTGTGGAAAGACACCGTCAAGGATTTACAACCAGATATAAAATATACAGGTAAGCTCGGGGCTAAGCTGGTCCTTGCCTTTCTTTCATTCATAGAAAGCTTCCGGGGTCAGCCATTGGCACGGGCCTTACTGTAAGGGGGAATGTCTGGGCCAAGGAACCCTTCAGCAGGCTGTCAGCCACTTCTTCACTTATTTATTTATTTTTCACTTTGCACAAGAGATTAGCAATGACAATGAGAATAACAAAGAGTTAACATTTATTGAATACTTACTATGCTCTGGGCATGATATATACTATCTTGTATAAACCTTATAAACCATCAGAGATAGGTTCTGTCTGTTTTCTCTACTTTATAGATGAGGTGACTGAGCTTCATCAAGGTGAAATAACTTGTGTTAAATCACATTGGAAATGGTCAAATATTTTTAGTCAACCACATCAGGTGTTGGTAGTGTTGTTTTGCAAATGCTGTCAATGCATCCAATAACCTACCCAAACACATGCACACATTTGGACATAAGAGAGGACACTCGGTGAACCACCTTTTCTTGAGCAGATCTGAACTGGTTCTTGGCCTCTTGGAATCCTACTCATACAATAAGGACTTACCCCAAATTCTTTTCTGCTTAAAACCATTTCAGAGTCTCCTCATTCGACTGGATCACCCTCTCTTTGGTATTTCTATACTTTTCTACACTTATACCTCTTGAGTTTTAAACCATTTGCAATTACTAGTAGAGTGCATATTTCTTTCTTACCTAACTGGAAACTCTTTGAGGGCAGGGTGCATATATACTAGAGGCCTGGTGCATGACATTTGTGCACTGGGGGGTGGGGGGATCCCTCAGCCAGGACTGCGCCCTCTCACAGTCCGGGACCCCTCAGGGGATGTCTGCCTGCTGGCTTAGGCCCGGATCCCCCTAGGGCAGTGGTTCTCAATCTTCTGGCCCTTTAAATACAGTTCCTCATGTTGTGACCCAACCATAAAATTATTTTCGTTGCTACTTCATAACTGTAATGTTGCTACTGTTATGAATCGTAATGTAAATATCTGATATGCAGGATGGTCTTAGGCAACCCCTGTAAAAGGGTCATTCGACCGCCAAAGGGGTTGCGACCCACAGGTTGAGAACCGCTGCCCTAGGGGTTCTTAGCTCTGCCTCTGAGGTGGGAGAGGCTCCTGCCACTGCTGCTGAGCTCGCCAGCCGTGAGCCCGACTTCTGGCTGAGCACACTGACCACCAGGGGGCAGCTCCTGCATTGAGCATCTGCCCCCTGGTGGTCAGTGCGTGTCATAGCGACTGGTCATTCCACCATTCAGTCGATTTGCATATTAGGTTTTTATTATATAGGATGTAAAATTTCATTTCTAGATGCCCAGACTCACTTTTGTTCTGCCTTGTATCATATGCACATAATAAATGTTATGGACATAAGTGAATTAGAGAATGCATAAAGTCTCTAGAGGTGTGATTTTTATCTTAAAGGTCAAGGAAAAAGGACAAATCCCTAATATTTCTGGACCAGTTAGGATAAGACAGCCAGGAAGCATAGCGAAGGCTGTAATCTTGGCCTGCAGCTGGGAAAGCATGGCTTCAGGTCTTATATCTTCTATATACTTGATATGAAAATACTCATGTCTCCTTTGCACATTTTGTGACATTATGGGCTAAAAATGGGTTATTCATGAAATTTCTACCAGCTGCCAATACTTCTGCTTTTATGCTGAATATTCAAATTTTAGTTTGAAAGTTGGCCCATTAATGACTGGGGTCTTGCATTGGTTCCATTCGTACAAGTTCACAGATGAACTTTCTGTGAGCCTTGAGGAGCTGTAGAGAATCTGAGTTATTGGGGGGAGGTACTCTGGGCATGATGAAAAGCAGGGTCACAAAGGAAAATGAATAATGGATGTGCATGAAAAGAAAAAGAACACAAGGATGAGAAACATGGTGCATCTTCTTTCAAAAGAAAAGAATATCAGAACCTCAAAAAAATAATTACTGATTCAAAAAAATACAGTTATTGAATATAAACTATTCCTTAGGAGAACTATTTCTAAATCACCCCAGAACAATAGTTATCTACTTAATTTCAAGTTTAGATTCTTAAAATAGTTTCTGACACAATACAACTATTGCTTTCAGTGAATATGCATAAACTAAATAAGGGTGTTCATTGATTACTCAACCAAATGCTTCAGTATCTGAAATCCCTGGTATTGGGAAAGACATTGGCTTGAAATGTTGGAAGAGAAGAAGTAGTAAAGCCCCAGTTATTTGTGATTTGTCAGATAATATTGACGCCTTGGTTTTATCTGTGCCTTTCTCTTCCATGTGAGCCTCCTGAGGACAGTTTAGAGTTGGGATAACTAGGGCTCAGATTTCCATTTTAAAGATCAGGAGGTGATTGACTTGAATAAAATTATGTAGCTGAGAAAAGTTGGGGCCTGAACTGGAAACAAAATCTGAGGATAGGTTCATCCATATGAATAAATATGCTAGAACTGAAGGCATCCATTCATTGTTTACAAATGTTTCTTAGCAACTATGGTGTGCCTGGCCCTGTGCTAGCCAGTAGGGACAAGCTGGTCATGATTGACAGGTGATGGTCACAATGGAGGCTCACAAGGGAGCTATCAGGCTTGTGAGGTGATGAATCTGTGTTTGATTGCTGTTGAAATAACCTAGACTTAAAGCGGCATCCTCAGTAGAACCACAGCTCCCAAATGTTCAATAGCAGCAACCTTTTACTGGGAGGTCAATCAATTCTCACACCATCTTCTGTGAGATGAGCAGTGTCTTGGCATTTTACACATAGGAAACCCAGGACTTGGGGAAGCAGAATGCATTGCTCTAGGCCAGCGATTTTCAACCTTTTTTATCCCATGGCACACATAAACTAATTACGAAAATTGTGCGGCACAACAAAAAAATGTATTTTTTTTTTTGCTGATCTGACAAAAAAAAGGGTATGATTTTGACTCATTCTCGTTAGACAGCTGTTGTGCTGGATGCTCTCATTTTTTTATTTGACAATCTAAGGGAAAAGTGGTCAGGGCCTCTGACTAAATAGTCAGGTATTGCATGTTTTACAAATTCTTGCGGCACACCAGGGTGCCGTGGCACACCTGTTGAAAATTGCTGCTGTAGCCCATCTATCTGGTGACAGGTGGAACTGGGGACCAAACACAGCCCTTCTGTCACCCACTCCTCTTCCAAACATTTTTTTCTCACAATCATGTTGTCAGCATTTCGGCGGTAGTTTTAGAGATGCTGAGAAGTGAACGGTTGCTAATGAGGTTGGGGGTCAGGACCTCTGGGTACTCATTCCCACTCTGCAGACACTGGGCTATTGACATCAAGCAAGTTCCCTCCGTTCCTGGATCCCCCTGTTCTTACCCATTAAAGGATAGGTGTGATGTAGGTCAGTGTTTTCCACCAATGCCCTTTGAAATCCTGAGGGTCAATAAAGAAGTCAAAGGAGCCTGGCTGGCGTGGCTCAGTGGTTGAGCATCAACCTATGAACCAGGAGGTTTGATTCTGGTCAGGGCACATGCCTGTGGTTGTGGCTCGGTCCCCGGTGTGAGGCATGCGGGTGGTCGCCGATCAGTGATTCTCTCTCGTCATTGATGTTAGGTCTCTCTTCCTCTTCCTTCCTCTCCGAAATCAATAAAAACATTTTTTAAAAAGTCATAGGAGCCAGTGTAGTGTGAAAACACAGGCAAAGGGCAGGAGACCAGCAGGCAGGATTCCAGGCCTTCCCCAGCCCCTCCGTGAGAGGTTTGCTGCTTCTGCTTCTGTGTGCAGGCTGTACACATGCTTTCCTTCGGATTCCGCTGCTAAAACAAAGTGTGCAACCCCCCAACATGCGGATTTCTAAGCTCCTTTCTAGCTCTAAAATCAAGTATAAGCTTTCGCCAAGGTCACATGGTTAATTAAATGATGGAGTTCACCCCAGAAGTCGGGCCCCTGGTCATCTAGTTATTTCTTCCTTCCTTTATTTAATCCTCAAATAATTACTAAGCACCAACGACAGGCCCAGTGCTGTTTTGGGGCAGATACAATGATGAGTGAAACAAACATGGTTCCTGCTCAGAGGAGAAACTAACATTAATTAAACACACAGATACACACACACACACACACACACACACGCACGCACGCATGCACACGCAGTGCTACAAAGAAGAAAGAGCAGGGTAGGCATACATAGCTGGGACAACAGTAATACCATCCACATTGATCTGGAACCTGTTATGTGTAGAGATTTGGTGGGGCTTCTGTCATAATCCGCACATGCACATGCAGATAGGGACCCAGAGACCTATGTGCCTCTGCAAACCGGGTTCAGATCAGAGCAAAAGCCAACTAGTGCATGTTCATCGGGTGGCTGTCAATCACCACTTCCTCCCCATGGCATGCCGCTTTGTTGAAACACTAAAGCATGGCCCCCGGTGATTTCCCCTGCTTCCTGTGTGCTAACATGCATGTAGCACATTAGAAACTGGACATCCACATCAGGAAAGACAGGCTTTCCTACCAGAATGTGCCATGTTGTCACATGCTACAGAGCAAGCCCCATGGAAATACTCTAGACCTCACGGTCTGGCCAGTTTCCCCCGCCCTGAGTCCAGGCTAGAGCCCTGAGTGATTTAGAAGCTTCTGAAAGACACTGAAGTCTCCCCTCCTCATTTAAGTGGGTTAAGGCCATCTCCCTCCTCATATATATGCACACAGAGGCCGATTTCAGCTCAGAGAGTCCCGGTGGGGGGACAGTGCCACTGGCAACGCTGAGAACCTTGCAGATTAAATCTCAGCAGAAGCCCTCTCTCGTGTCGCTTCACAAACTGAGCAGTAATGTGTGCACAAGCAGTGATTTGGGTGCACGAGGCACACGCTCTGTCATGCACAAGCCTGAGCTGGCACGCGGAGGCTGGGCGTGTTTTCTGCTGGCTTCTGCCAGGGTGCAGTGGCAGTAACACTGATGTGGGCTCAGGGAACCCGGCACTGGCCCTGGTCACTCACCTCCCTGATGTATGATTTCAGC